CAACCTTGAATTGGACCCGGAAGCAAAATATATGGGGGAGGGGGTCCCTGCCACTCCCTCCAGCCTCACAAGAGTGCTTACCGATAAACCATTTGCTTGGACTTCCCCACTTTTAGATGAGCTAGAATCGTCTGGAACCACTGTGAGAATACAGATTGTGCTTCAGGCTGATTGTTTATTGGACAACCTGCAAATTTCCCCTTTTTTAAGCAAAATTAATCTAAAAAAAAAAAAAAACCAGCGCAAGAAAAATGGTTCTGCATTGGCGCCCAGCTGTGTAGGACTCTGTGCTGGCTGTGGAATTCTGGGAGTTGAAGTCCACAGGTCTTAAAGTTGCCAAGGCTGGGGACCCCTGACTTAGGATGTCACAGAAGAGCAGGCAGAGCTAGAGGGCGGAGCAAAATGTGCCATCAGTTTAGAGTCCTTGTGTTACCACAAGACCACCCGAGACCAGCCTCTCCTTTGAATTCCATTGACTCTTCTCCCGCACCAATTCTGCAGTGGCCATTTAGTTGACCAGATTTTTGTATATAGGCTTCAATAAATCGTTAATGCTGCAACCTACATGAATGATCCTGATCCTTTGCGTCTAATATGTGTACACTTTATTCCCATTTGGAACCATTTGGAAAAGCTGCCTGAAAGTAAAAAAATCTTTTCTTGCGTCGTTTTGTTGTTTTTTTTCTATATAGATGAACGGGACCGATGATGGTGAATATGTCATGTTATCTGGAGAAAATAGCTACCTGGACTTCACGAGAGTAATTGAATGGAATGGCAAAGAGTAATGTTTGCTTCTTCTTTTTTTCCCCCCTTCACTGGTGTTCCTTATATCTCTGTGGCAGTGCATGTTGTAATTCTTGCCTTATATTTTAATTCATTCGTTTGGTTGTTTTTTTTTATCCCGCCTTCGTTATTGTTTCTAAATAATTCAAGGTGGAAAACTTCCCTAATGCTCCTTCCTCCTCCTATTTTCTCCACAACAACAATCCTGTGAGGTAGGTTGGGCTGAGGAGAGTGACTGGCCTAAAGTTATCTAGCCATTTTTCATGCCTAAGGCAGGACTAGAACTCACCGTCTCCTAGTGATTGGCCCAAAGCACTCAGCCAACTTGCTTGCCTGAGGCAAAACTAGAACTCACCATCTCCTGGTGATTGGCCCAAAGTCATCCAGCCGGCTTTCGTGCCTGAGGCAAAACTAGAACTCATCATCTCCTAGTGATTGGCCCAAGTCATCCAGCCGGCTTTCGTGCCTAAAGTGGAACTAGAACTTACTGTCTCCTAGTGATTGGCCCAAAGTCACCCAGCCAGCTTTGATGCCTGAGGCAAAACTAGAACTCATCATCTCCTAGTGATTGGCCCAAGTCATCCAGCCAGCTTTCATGCCTAAAGTAGAACTCGCAGTCTTCTGATGATCAGCCCAAAGTCACCCAGATGGCTTTCATGCCTAAGGCAGAACTAGAACTCACTGTCTCCTGGTGACTGGTCCAAAGTCACCCAGCTGATTTTCATGCCTAAGGAGGGACTAGAACTTACAGTTTCGTGGGGACTGGCCCAAAGTCACCCAGTTGGCTTTCATGCCTAAGGTGGGACTAGAACTCACTGTCTCCTGGTGACTGGCCCAAAGTCACCCAGCTGATTTTCATGCCTAAGGAGGGACTAGAACTTACAGTTTCGTGGGGACTGGCCCAAAGTCACCCAGTTGGCTTTCATGCCTAAGGTGGGACTAGAACTCACAGTCTCCTAGTTGCTAGGCCAGTCCCTTAACCTCTAGACCAGGGGTAGGCAACCTTGGCTCTTTTATGACTCGTGGACTTCAACTCCCAGAATTCCTGAGCCAGCATGGCTCAGCTTGGAAACCTCTCCCTTTCCCCTCAGCATGGCTGGCTCAGGAATTCTGGGAGTTGAAGTCCACGAGTCATAAAAGAGCCAAGGTTGCCTACCCCTGCCCTAGACCAAACCTCCTATTCCAAAATGCTCCATTAGATCTAGTGTTTTTCCCTCTCCTTCCCAAAGATTCTTAATAAGTTGGATAAAAAAAGTTTCAGACGCTGCTATTCAGGATCCATGGGCTAAACCTCCCTTCTTCAGACTCAGTAAGATAAGAATTATTTCTTCCTCAGTGCCTCTGAGTAAATACATAAAAAAGGAGGATGCTTCAAGGAACATCACCTCTATTTTTTGGCAAGTTGGGTTTCAGGAAAACCCATAATCATGATTAGGAAAGAAGGTGGTTTGGGAAAGAATTTATTCAGAGTGGGTTTGTATTAGGGATTGACAATGCTTATTTTCCCCCGTCTTGAAAAACTCAAGCCCGTAATTAGATCACAGACCTTCACAAGATGTTGTCTGGGCTTGCTTTGAAAGAGGATCAGACATATCAGATCCTGGATGAAAGAGGGCCTTTGATCTTTTGACCCAGCAGGATTTCTCTTTATGTTTTAAAACTAATCCTGGATTCCTTCTGATCTCTTCTCTTGATAGCAAGCTAGACTGGTGGACAACACCCAGCTGTAATATGATCAATGGAACAGATGGAGAGACTTTCCACCCACTGATCAGCAAAGATGACACAATCTATATCTTTTCTACAGATTTCTGTAGGTAAGAACAGTGGGAAGCACTGCCTGGAATTCAACATTGAATCATAGCTTTGCCATAGTGACTCATCCTGGATCTCCTTGCTAGAATTCCTAGTGTCCTGTTTCCTAGTACTGTAAAAGATTTTTCTCAATTCAGTCTATTGTGTACAGCGAACACAGCCGTTGTGGTACCAATAGAAGAGAATATTTGCTGCTCGGGGTTAAATTGTGGTGTCCTTGATGCTATCTCAGCTTGGTGGTTTTCTGGTGGACGTTTCATTACAAACAGGCAGAAGACTAGCACTGCGCATCCATGAACACCAACTAGCAATCAGAAGACACAATGAAAACTCAGTTTGGCAACACATGGATAGAAGAAATAATAATAATAATAATAATAATAATAATAATAATAATAATAATAATAATAATAATAATAATAATAATAATAATAATAATAATAATAAAGTTGGAAGGGACCTTGAAGGTCATCTAGTCCAACCCCCTGCTCAGGCAGGAAACCCTATACCATTTCAGACAAATGGCTGTCCAGTCTCTTCTTAAAAACTTCCAGTGTTGGAGCATTCACCGCTTCTGGAGGCAGGTTGTTCCACTGGTTAGTTCTCACTGTCAGGAAGTTTCTCCTTAGTTCTAGGTTGCTTCTCTCCTTGGTTAGTTTCCATTCGTTGCTTCTTGTCCTGCCTTCAGGCGCCTTGGAAAATAGCTTGACTCCCTCTTCTTTGGGGCAGCCCCTGAGATATTGGAATACTGCTATCATGTCCCCCCTCGTCCTTCTCTTCATTAAACTAGACATACCCAATTCCAGCAGCCTTTCCTTATATCAGTGGTGGCGAACCTATGGCACGGGTGCCAGAGGTGGCACTCGAAGCCCTCTCTGTGGGCACACATGCCGTTGCCTCTGCCTGCGACCCCCTCCTCACCAGCAGCCCCTGGAGGAGAGTCACCCCGAGCGTGGCCCACACAGAGCAGCGCAGCTAAGGACATGGCAGCCAGGCAGCATAGACAAGACTCTGCCCATACCCCAATGCGCAAAGTTGATGCTGCGGGGCGTGGGCAGAGGGCGTGGCCGCCATGGTGCTGCTGGGCTGCCTGGGCGATCTGCGGCAGGCCGTGGAGGCAGTGAGTGGCCCTGCAGGCAGGCAGGGTGGGGCTGAGCGGGGCTGAGGGCGGAGCAGGGGTGGGGCCAGTTTTTGGGCACTCGGTCTCTAAAAGGTTCGCCATCACTGCCTTATATGCTTTAGCCTCCAGTCCCCTGATCATCTTTGTTGCTCTTCTCTGTACTCTTTCTAGAGTCTCAACCATAGCTTCAGCTGGGAAACTGGATATCCTAGACCAGGGTAGGCAATCTTGGCTCTTTTATGATTTGTGGACTTCAACTCCCAGAATTCCTGAGCCAACCAGAGTTGAAGTCCACAAGTCATAAAAGAGCCAAGGTTTCCTACCCCTGTCCTAGACCAACTGAAGTCCAAAAGCGTGAGAGATTCCTAGAAGCCCGGCATTCAGACAGATCGGCCATCATCAGGCACACACAGATAAACAACATCTACATACCACTCAAAATAGACAATCAAAAAGCCCAAAAGGAAACAAAAAGACCAACGCCCCTCCTCGCCAGCAATCAACACCCATAAGAGCAGAGATTAACACAAAGATTAACATTAGAGAGATTAACACCGAGATTAACACTAGACCAACAATCAAATAATACCCCAGTGAAGGAACTAATCAATGCAGAAAAACAAGGTACTGTAATATCAAGAACATTCCCACCAACACTGACGGGGCAAGCCACTAGCATATAAAAATAAGAGCAGACGCCACTCCCTTTTAGCATTGATGCTGTAACCTAGTTTGGTAATGCAACGTCTGCAAGAAAACCACCAAGCTCGGAAAGCTCCAAGGACTCCTCAGCCTTTGTGCCTTGTACAACACGATTTAAAGCTTGGGGCGTCGCGTGCGCTCAAGCAAAAACTTCCTAGGATGTGTCAACCTGGCTTTTCCCTGCAAATATACGTGCCTTCACCAAAGCAGACTTTTTATGTTATTTTGTTCTTTTCCAGATCTATATATCTAAACTTTGAGAAAGAGTTAACCGTTTTGGGAATTCCAACTTACCGGTTTACACCTCCCTTGAAACTCTTTGCCAATGTCTCGGTTAATCCAGACAACGCTGGGTTTTGTGTCCCTGCTGGGCACTGTGTGGGGTCTGGAGTCCTGAATGTCACCGTTTGCAAACAAGGTTAGTGTGTCACAAACTGAAGGGAGTCAAATACCAGTCTTCATAAGTTCTTTTAACACAGTGGTTCTCAACCTTTTTAATGCCGCCCAACCCCCAACCGGTCGTAAGTCGAGGACTAAACCGATCGTAAGTCGAGGACTAAACCAGTCGTAAGTCGAGGGCTAAACCGGTTGTAAGTCGAGGACTAAACCGGTTGTAAGTCGAGGACTACCCAACCGGTCGTAAGTCGAGGACTTTCCCTGCCCGGAAGCGCCGCGCATGCGTGGTTCCGCCCCCTGCGCCGGCCGAGGCGTGGCTGGCAAGCGGCAGAGACGGAGCAGGCCGACCACCAGCTGGCCCAGCTCAAGGGAGGTAAGGCACCCGCCGGAAAAGGGGAAAAAAATGGCGGACAGCCTTGCTTGGCGACCCCCGTGAAATGGTCGATCGACCCCAAATGGGGTCGCGACCCATAGGTTGAGAACCACTGTTTTAACAGGTAGTTCTTGACTTGGCGACCATAATGGATCCCAGAATTTCCATCGTATGTCCTGGGGGTCGTAAGTCAAGGCATCCACACGACTGACCCAATTTCGTGACAATTTTGGCAGCGTTCGTTAAGTGAACACCATGGTCATTGAAGTGGACACACAGTCATTAAGCAAACACATCGTCCGCCGTGGACTTTTTTTTTTTTTTTTTTTGCTGGAAACCAGAAGTAAATGCTGGTTTCTGACCGAAAAGAGAGTCACACGACCGCGGGATGCTGCAAATGACCGTCAATGCCGACGGGTTGCTGAGCACCCGGAATGTGATCATGTGACCACAGGGAGGTGGGGCCATCAGAATTTTGAATCCAGGTCGTAAATACCTTTCTGGAGATTGGTCGTAACTCAAGCAGTTCCGAAGCAAATCGGTCGTCAGTCAAGGACTACCAGTACTTCTAAGCCAGGATGACTGCAAATAGGTGCTTGTCGTGGATTTAACCCCCCGGGCCCCTCGCCAGGATTAGGGTGAATTTGAGTCTCCAGAGAAAAGCCCAGAGCCGAGTGTTGGTCAGGATTGGGGCTCGGAAAGTGCTAGCCTGATGGAGCAGCCTCAGCTGAGTCAATCAGATAAGTCAGGGCTTTTCAACCAGTGGTATGGGTACCACCTGTGGTACATTGGCACCTGGCAGGTGGTACGCGACCATCCTAGAAAAGTGGTAGTGGGGGAGGGGAATGAGCTGAACCAGTAGCAGCACCGCAGAAGCCTGAGCGAGAGATGGCTGGAGCTGCAGGGCTGTCAGGGCTCAGCGGAAGCACCAGGATCAGCGCCAGGCTCCAGCTGGAGCTCAGCGCTGATCCTGGTGCTTCCGCTGAGCCCTGAAGAAGCACCAATCAGCTGGAAAGCAGCACTGATCCTGGTGCTTCTGCCGAGCCCAGAAGAAGCGCCGATCAGCTGGAATGTTGCAGCATCTCCAGGGTCTTGTGATTTACATTCAGATGCTTGGCAACTGATTCATATTTATGACGGTCACAGCATCTCAGGGTCATGTGAAGTGAGCAAAACCTGCTGCAATCACCCAGCAGACGGGGGGGGGGATGAAAACCAAACACCCCCCACCCCACCCCCACTTTTAAGATATGGCAATATCCAAAAACCTGATGCCCAAACCAAAAAAAGGAAAAAAGTGATGAAGTACAGGTAGTCCTTGACTTACAACAGTTCACTTAGTGACTGTTCGAAGTTACAATGGCACTGAAAAAAGTGCCCTCCAAGCCACAGCCAAGCAAGACACCTGCCTGCCTGCCCAGCGGCGCTCTTCCTCCTGTCTGAGGTTTCCATTGTTGTGAGCATTTCTGTTGAGGGGGGTGGGGTGGAGTGGGGTGGTGTTTGGTTTTTATTCCCCCCGTCTACTGGGTGGTTGCAGCAGGTTTTGGTCACTTCACATGACCCTGGGACACTGTGACCGTCATAAATATGAATCAGTTGCCAAGCATCTGAATGTAAATCACAAGACCCTGGAGATGCTGCAACATTCCAGCTGATTGGTGCTTCTTCAGGGCTCAGCAGAAGCACCAGGATCAGCGCCGAGCTCCAGCTTGAACCTGGCGCTGATCCTGGTGCTTCCGCTGAGCCCTGACAGCCCTGCAGCTCCAGCCATCTCTCGCTCAGGCTTGTGCGGTGTTGCCACTGGTTCAGCTCATTCCCTCTCCCCCACTACCACTTTTCTAGGATACCACCTGCCAGGTGCCAATGTACCACAGGTGGTGCCCGTACCACTGGTTGAAAAGCCCTGGCCTGGAGTACAGCATGCTGCATTTGAGAAATGATTATGGAATCTGATCGGGTGTACGGGAGGCATTTTGAAATACGTGGGTGCCTGATCATTCCTTATTTGTTCATTTTTAACCCTTTTTTGTCGTTGTTGTTGTTGTTGTTACAGGGGCACCAATATTCTTATCGCTCCCACATTTCTTCCATGCTGAGGATAGCTACATCAAGTCGGTGGACGGCATGCATCCAAATAAAGAGAATCACAACACGTTTCTTGATATTAACCCAGTAAGTCTCTATTTCTATGGACCTCAAAATCATTTTACAGGTAGTCCAATTTAAAATGGAATTGGAAGCTTAGTGGGTCACAGAATCCAGTTTCAGAGTTTTATTTGGATGGTGCTTTTGTGAGCACGTGGCTTTGATGGTGCTTCCTGCCCTTTGGTTGATTCTCTCCTCTGCATTTGGTCACGTTGGCTTTGCAAAGGTCTGACTCATCTGAAAAGTGATGACTGTTCATGGAACTCAACATTTGGAAAGGACTAATGAGGTTGGAAAGTCAGGCCAGCCTGACTTTTTAATTCAAATTAAAAATCTCCCAGGCGCGTGAATAAATCAAATGAAGGAGTCTCCACCACCTCCTCTGAGTCATGGGCTCCACTCTTAAAGTGTATTTACTGCTAGGAAGTTGTTCCAAACCTCAGCTGGAATTTGCCTGCCTGTAACTTAAATCCATAATTCTGTGTCTTGTACGGTGGAATGAGAAAAGAACAGATCCTGGCTGCCTTCTCTGTGATACCTTTTTAGCTATTTAAAGAATGCAGTCATTCCGTCTCGGTTTCACCGCTAAACCTATCCATCTTCTCTCACTTTTCACATAGCGTTAGCTAGTTTCTATTTTTCTGAACCCCTCTTAAAGGGTGGTGCTCATAGGTAGATAAAATATGAACGTGGGACCTGTACAATAACAAAACCCTGGAAGCCAGCCCAGCCATCAACAGGCACAGGGAGATAAAACAACGCCTGCATATCATTCCAAAGAGACCATCAAAAAGCTAAAAAGGAAACAAAAAAAACCCCAAAACACCTCCTCACTAGCAATAAACGGCCAGGTAAGCAGAGATTAACATCGTGGACTTCAACTCCCAGAATTCCTGAGCCAGCATGGCTCAGCTTAGAAACTCTCCCTTTCCCCTCAGCATGGCTGGCTCAGGAATTCTGGGAGTTGAAGTCCACGAGTCATAAAAGAGCCAAGGTTGCCTACCTCTGCCTTGGCCTAGGCCTAGGCCGCTTTATGACTCATGGACTTCAACTCCCAGAATTCCTGAGCCAGCATGGCTCAGCTTGGAAATTCTCCCTTTCCCCTCAGCATGGCTGGCTCAGGAATTCTGGGAGTTGAAGTCCATGAGTCATAAAAGAGATAAGGTTACCTATCTCTGGCCTAGGCCTAGGCCGCTTTATGACTCATGGACTTCAACTCCCAGAATTCCTGAGCCAGCATGGCTCAGCTTGGAAACTCTCCCTTTCCCCTCAGCATGGCTGGCTCAGGAATTCTGGGAGTTGAAGCCCATGAGTCATAAAAGAGCCAAGGTTGCCTACCCCTGCACTAGACCAACAACCCGGTTGTAAAGAACACCCCAATCAAGAAACTACCAAACCCAGACCAACAATCAGGCAGTAAACAACAGCCAAATCAAGGAACCACCAAAGACGAACACTGACAGGACAAGTATACCAGGATACACAGATTAAACCGCACTCCCTTCTAGCACTGATCATGTTATCTAGTTAAGGTGATGAAATGTCTGCAAGAAAACAACCAAGCTCAGAGAGCACCAAGGACCCTACAGAGTAACAAAATATTTCCTGTGATTTGGAAATTAGGCTTCTGAAATTACATTTGTCTTTTTTTTGTGCAGCCAGCAGACTGGCTGGGGGGGGGGGAATTCTGGGAGTTGAAGTCCACACATCTTTAAATTGCCCCAGGTTAAGAAACGCATCTCTAGGTTATTCACACAGCTCATTATACTGTCATGGGATTGGTTTCTTCGCCTGGTCTACCTCGCTGGGTTGTCGCTTAGCTCCAGATTGTAATATCTGGGACTGGACCACCAATTGTGTGTTGTCTTCCACCAAGGATATGGTGGATGTAGCTGCTTGTAACCAAGATATGAATACAGATAGTCCTCGATGTATGACAAGAATTGCCCCCCCCCAAATTTCTGTTGCTAAGCGAGACAATAATAATAGTAGTAGTAGTAGTAGTAGTAGTAGTAGTAGTAGTAGTAGTAGTAAAGTTGGAAGGGACCTTGGAGGCCATCTAGTCCAACCCCCTGCTCAGGCAGGAAACCCTATACCATTTCGGACAAATGGCCGTCCAGTCTCTTCTTGAAAACTTCCAGTGTTGGAGCATTCACCGCTTCTGGAGGCAGGTTGTTCCACTGGTTAATTGTTCTAACTGTCAGGAAGTTTCTCCTTAGTTCCAGGTTGCTTCTCTCCTTGATTAGTTCCCATCTGTTGCTTCTTGTCCTGCCTTCAGGCGCTTTGGAGAAGAGCTTGACTCCCTCTTCTTTGTGGGTGAATTTTGACTCATTTTAAATGAATTTTGTGACTTTTTGTGACTTAAGTGAATTTTGACTCATTCTATGACCTTTCCTGCCATAGTTGTTAAGTGGATCACTGCAGTTGATACGTTAGCGGTAACCTGCTTGTTAAGGCGAACCTGGCTTGCCCATTGACTTTGCTTGTGACAGGGTGATCACATGACCTTGGGACACGGCAACAGTCGTAAGTATGAGCCAGTTGCCAAGCATCTGAATTTTGATCACGTGACCCAAGGGGATGCTGCAACGGTCGTAACTCTGAAACACAATCCTAAGTCCGATTTTTCAGTGTTGTTGTAACTTCGAACGGTCACTAAACAAACGGTTGTAAGTTCGAAGGACTACCTGTACTAAATTTGCACTGGATCGGTAAAGTGAATTTCATTTTTAAGCGAAAGCACGTTTCCTTTTCCCTTTCAGCTGACAGGAGTTTTGGTGCGGGCGAACAAAAGAATGCAAATCAATGTTTATGTTGAAACACTCCCCCAATTTATGTAAGTATTGTACAGAGAACTCGGCGATCTTTTAATATATATTCATTCATTCCGAGAAACGGAATAATAACACCTGTACAAACAGCAGGAAAATATATGTATATTATATATATATATACTGTATACATGCAAATAATGCATCGGTGTATTTAAACCGCGAGAAAGATACTCAGCAGAAAAACCAGCTTATGAAATAGGCTGTGGTTTAGTTTCCAGCGTCTCTCCTTACGGTCTAAGCTCAGCAAAACGGGCAGCCAAATCAAATCAAGTTAGCATGGGAAAATAATTTGAGTAAATAAATAAGATGGTCCAGGACCTGGGATAGGCATCATCATCATCATCATCATTATTATTATTATTATTATTATTATTATTATTATTATTATTATTATTATTAATTATTATTAATTATTATTATTATTATTATTATTATTATTATTATTATTATTATTATTATTATTATTATTATTATTATATTCCATTTTTCCTGAGCTCTGAAGGCTAATGAGATGCTTTCCCATCACGTACCCTCGAAGCAGGATAATTCTCTTGAGAATCACTGGAAAACAGTACTCTGCTTCAATCTACATTTTTGTCTTATTTCAGTCAAACAGGGAAAATCAGAAGAATGCTCTATCCAGTGATGTATGTAAATGAGGTAGGCACTGATCAAACATCCCCACCTTCCCCTCTGGAATTTGTAAGGGTGTTCTCTGAATCTGGGAAAGGAACTGGAGAACGGTTGCAGGAACTGGGTACGTCTAGTTTAATGAAGAAAAGGACCAGGGGAGACATGATAGCAGTCTTCCAATATCTGAGGGGCTGCCACAAAGAAGAGGTAGTCAAGCTATTCTCCAAAGCGCCTGAAGGCAGGACAAGAAGCAACGGATGGAAACTGATCAAGGAGAGAAGCAACCTAGAACTAAGGAGAAACTTCCTGACAGTTAGAACAATTAATCAGTGGAACAACCTGCCTCCAGAAGCTGTGGGTGTTTCAACATTGGAGGTTTTTAAGAAGAGACTGGACAGCCATTTGTCTGAAATGGTTTAGGGCAGTGGTTCTCAACCTGTGGGTCGGGACCCCATTTGGGGTCGATCGACCATTTCATGGGGGTCGCCAAGCAAGGCTGTCTGCCATTTTTTTTGTCTGCCATTTTTTTTGTCCGCCATTTTTTCCCCCTTTTCCGGCGGGTGCCTTACCTCCCTTGGGCTGGGCCAGCTGGTGGTCGGCCTGCTCCGTCTCTGCCGCTTGCCAGCTACGCCTCGGCCGGCGCAGGGGGCGGAACCACGCATGCGCGGCGCTCCCGGGCAGGGAAAGTCCTCAACTTACGACCGGTTGTGTAGTCCTCGACTTACGACCGGTTGTGTAGTCCTCGACTTACGACCGGTTTAGTCCTCGACTTACGACCGGTTGGGGTCGCGGCATTAAAAAGGTTGAGAACCACTGGTTTAGGGGGTTTCCTGTCTGAGCAGGGGGTTGGACTAGAAGATCTCCAAGGTCCCTTCCAGCTCTGTTATTCTGACATTTCATGCATGGCAGACAAGGACCAGTTGAACATTTCAGCCTTAACTCTTAGGAGGAGGCGTCAGTCTATTGATCAGGAAGTCCATGAGAACCAGCATCTCACAGAGTTGCCCCCCCCCCCTTAATATACTCAGTCATAAATAAGGGTTGGAGTATGCTTACCTGGTTTGCCCCAGGCCTCTTCTCCCCATGCCTTAAATCTGGGGGCTCAGCCTTCTCCTTCCGAAGCCAGACGTGACCACAGGGGTATGGGCAGATAAAGCCAAGATGTGTCTCCTTCTCCATCTCCTTGTTTGTGCTTTCCCTTCTCAGAGTTTTACGCTGGATGATCCAAATGCAGGAAAACTCAGGGCTGCTTTGCTTGAATCCAATCTGGTCCAAGCTGTCCCGTTCATCTTGTTGGCACTAGGAATTATTTGTGGAGCAGTGGTTCTGGGAGTCACCTATTGGCCCAGAGGGAAAAAAGAGGAGGTAAGGTTGTTGGTGGGTCTGCTCATTTCCCTGTTATTTTATTTTAGAAGCAACTTCCTTGCTTCCTATCTTTTCCTTCCTTCCTTCCTTCCTTCCTTCCTTCCTTCCTTCCTTCCTTCCTTCCTTCCTTTCTTTCTTTCTTTCTTCTTTCCTTCCTATCTTTTCCTTCCTTCCCTTCCTTCCTTCCTTCCTTCCTTCCTTCCTTCCTTCCTTCCTTCCTTCCTTCCTTCCTTCCTCACCTACCTGCTTGTTCATTCTAGGGAAGAGGTTTAATAGACCCACAGTAAATGCGTCTCAGCAACATTCTGCTGGTAACTTATATCTCATGGTAAGACAAGCAAACTTTGTCTCTTCCTGGGGTCTCCAAACTAAGGGCCGACGAGGGAACTCTGAAATCTTAAAGCTTGGTTTTGCACATGTACCAGCCACTTAGCGGCATTGTGTCTTCCATGGGCGTAGAAATTCCTATTGGTTAATTAAAATTGTATCTCATAAATGATTATTATCCCTTACTTTGAGCTCAAGCAGGGACTATTTGGAACTTTGAGCATCACAAAGTATCAATTATACATGTGTGAACCAGTTTTGAGATTTAAATTGTTTCGCTTTAATAACCTAGGCCACTCTCAACTCTCTGTAGATTGCAACAGCCTTGGGATGGCTTAGCTGGAGCCGTTTAAAAACGAAACAAAAGACACTAAGGTGATATCCTAGATTAATCAGGCCATTTATTACTTTTTAACACTGGTGCTTGCATAAAAATTGCAGTTCACGCATGGTTTGTCATGAAAGCCAATTTTGGGCTCCATTGTGGTTATAATTTGAGGGTCTACCTATTCGTACAGGACGGGCGAGGAGGAACCTCTGAGAAAAGGACTTCCTGCTTTGACTTCTGGGTGCTGCATATTCTAAACAGGGGGTCCCAAACTGTGAGAGGACCCCCCCTCAACATTCTGTGCTGGGGTATCTCTTGGGCTTGGTCTAAGGGTCTGTAGGGCTTTAATTGGTCTGAAGAGTGGAGAAAAGCCAGAAGGGGTTCCTGTAATCGCTGACTTCACAGTGCCATGCTCACTTTTCTGATCTTAAAAGGGATTTATAAATATTGCTCTTCAGGGATCCTATAGATTTGGTTAGGCCTGGTCTAGTGGCCCTGGTGAAGGTACTTTACTAGCTGGGTTTACCTTTCTTTTAAAACAGCTGGGTGTTTTTACACATTCTTGGGAAAGAAACAAGGTAGGTTTAAAGAGATGTTCTCCTCAGCATTGGGAACCCAAAGGTAGGTTGTGCTCGTTCCTCTTTTCATGTTTTTAGAGCCCGGATCGAAAGATCCACCGAGTCACCCAAAATTTGCAGCTGAATTGCAGCTGAATTCAGCAATCCAATATTGTTATCTCTTGCAAAGATAATCTTCTCCTATTCACATTCCTTGCTTGAGTAGTAAACATGGGAAAAAACAACAACAGACCAACACTTTTCTCCTGCTGTAGGAATACAACAGTTCAGGGAAATACAATTTGGCTAAAAATATCTCCCTGCTGGGCCCACTTCTCACCAGAAATTGATTTAAAAGGCCATTTGAACATGTGACCCTTTCCCTGTAGTCTAAGATAGGACTGTCTTCGGAACACAATGCCACTAGATCGATCTGCTCAGATAGTTCAGATTGTGTGGGGATCCTTGGTGCTCTCTGAGCTCAGTTGTTTTCTTTCAGATGTTTTATTACCCAACTAGGTAACATCATCAGTGCTAGAAAGGAGTGGGGTTGCTCTCTGTTTATATACAAATGGCTTCCCCTGTCAATATTGATTGTTCTGGATGGTCCCTTGATTATTGTTTATTGTTTGATTCAGAGGTCCCGAACCTTGGCAACTTTAAGACTTGTAGACTTCAACTCCCAGAATTGGCTGGCTGAGGAATTCTGGGAGTTGAAGTCCACAAGTCTTAAAGTTGCCAAGGTTGGAGACCCCTGCTTTGATTGTTTGTCAGAGTTGATTGGGAAATTGTTTCTCGCTTGATGGTCTAGAATTAATCTTGGCATTAATCTCTGATTATCTGGGTGTTGATTGCTGGGTAGCTTTTCGATGGTCGCTTTTTGAATGGCACGTAGATGTTGTTTACCTCTATGTGAGTGTGGAGGGCAGATTTGTCTGGAGTGCCAGGCTTCCAGGAATTCTCTAGTGGTTTTGGACTTAGCTTGGCCTAGGATGCTCACAGTTTCCCAGTTGAAATTATGGTAAAGTCGGTCTATGTTTTTATATACTAGTGGCTTGCCCTGTCAGTGTTGGTGAGACACTTCCGTGTTGGTGGGACACTCCCTTCTAGCACTGATACCTACTCAGGTAATGAAGCATCTGCAGAAAACTGTTGTGATTCCGTGCCAGCCTGTAGTAGTAGAGTCTGGGGAATCAGAGGAGGAGGGGCCTGGAGAGCCATCAGAGTCAGAGGAAGGCTCTGATGAGCTGCAGGACTTACAAACTAATGAAGAGGCTGGTCCTTCCATCCACTCGTGATCAAGCTGAGAGCCAGCTGTGCTGGGAAGCTGAGTCAGACTCGGAGGAAGCACAGCTGGAAGACCTCAGAGACGCTGGTAAACGTAGACGGGTCACACGAGTAGGACAGAGGGAGGCAATGGGGCAACTCCAGGGTAGGAGGAGAAAGCAGTGAGAAGCCACGCCTTGGGGGGCTGCGTAACAAAAAGGGAATGTGTGGGCAGGGCTGGTTGCTGGAGGCAACCATTTGCAAAGAACTTCAGTGTCAAGAGATCATGGTCTGTTTATTTTGCTTGTGAGTTATTTCCTGTTTGACTCGTGCTCCATTTTGCTTTTGGACAAGGTCTCCATAGGAAAAGTGTCCTGTCGCTTTTGTTTTCAGGTCTGTAACTCAAATAAAAAAGGGTTTATTTTCCAGTCTACTGTTAAACAGGGGTTGTCTTTGTGAAGTAACCAAGAACGTTCGTAGGCTGGGACAGAACAAAATCAACCAAGCTCAGAGAGCATCACGGACCCCCACCTCTGCACCCTGAGCTGCAAATATCCCCTTCTATCAGATCAGCTTAGTTAGAGACCACTTATCAACAATTTATCTGTGAACAGGACTTGAGAAAAAGTCTGCTTGGATTCTGCTGGGCTTTGCCATCTCCAGCAAAGTTGCAGGAGCCGATAGATGAAATGGGTTGCATAAACACAATCTCTTAAATTAACGCTTCTTCTTCTTTTCTTTTCTTTTTGCCTCCCCTAACAACAGAGTACCGTTGACGAAAGAGCTCCACTTATCCGGACTTAGCCCGATTTCCTTAACCACACACCACGTGTACAAAAAAGAGCTTCACGATGATGACTGAACAGGGCAAACGTTTTTAATTGCCACCACAACCTACCACTTCAACAGCCCCCTTGAAGTAGTCCTCTCTTTAGCATTTAGTAACCATCTGCTTCTGAGGAAGAAGGGCATTTGTAAGCTAAACCTGAACTGAGGGCAGAATTGCAGGCTTAATGAGGGGTTAGTCGGACCCCATTTGCGCCTGCCTTCCCAGCGTGTGAAACTAGCAGTATTTCACTACACTTGCGTTATTTGTTGGACTTCTGGAATTGCGTCTGCACCTGGATCCCTGTTGGCTTATAGGAGGTGCCAGGAAAGGTGACGTCAACCTTGATGACATCCTTGTTAATTTAGGAGGTTTGCTAGCACAGCCTTGTCCTGCCGTAATTTGATTTCTTGGTGAATCTTACGGGCCAGATCTACTCGGGAGTTTCACTTTTCCCCTGGTGTAAATCTTCGCACTGGAAAAGGACAAAAAAAAAAGAGGAATAATTCTACATACAATTTTTCTACAATTTTCCATTTTTGTTCAGGCCGTCGGATGTCCCATTCAGTGTTTGTTTTTTAAAGTTTCCTTCTGAGGTAAAGTCTTAGATTGGCTTTTACCAACCTGGCACCCTTTTTAGAGAACACCAACCTTTTTAGAGAACACCAAATTGAAGTAGGCTGGCTCAGGTATTCGATAGTGAATTCTCTCCTGTTTCTATATCTATGGAAATTAGAGTTTAAAAGATCCAGCCTCTAGGCCAAAAGATGTATTGGGATTCTAATTATTATTATTATTATTTTAAAAAGCACACACACAAAGTATGTTTGAAGGAGCCATCTCTAACAAACTGGACATATTTTCCAAGAATACAAATCTCCATTTGTGAAGGTTGTTTTTCCTGGCCCTCTCTCTCTATCTCGTGTCTCCTTTAAAAGTGATTTGGGAATAACAGATTTATTTTCTAAATCCGGCTTTTCGAGATCTAAAGGCCTCTCCCTCAGAGGCATCCAGATGTGCAGTGATTTCCCCCTTCAACCTAGGAGAGAGAAAAAAGAAGGGATCAGAGTCTCCACCATTACAGCCAAAATGGAATTTAAAGCCTGCGGGCCGAAGCCTGTGATTGTCAAGATAACGTGCTCGTTTTGAGGAAAAAAAGGGAAGCTTTACATGATCTTTCATTTGCACTGGAGGGAATGAGAAGGGAGCCCACGTCTTTGTTGAGGGAACTGCACTGATTTGGTGAAGGGACGCTGGAATCCTTTTTCGAGATGATCCTGAAAGTAAAAAGTAGTAGCCAGTAATTTTGGTGGTAGCATCTGGCTAACCCTGCTTGGGAACATAAGTTGTGCTTGATCATTCGGAGAGGAGATGACAAGGAAAAACCAAGATATCTCGTATCATGGAAGTTGGGGGGAAAAATTCTGGAAGAAAGCGACAGCAAACTATATTTTTGCCAGGAAAACAACATGGATGTCCAGGAAGACACCAGGAGTCAAACTCAACTTGAACCCCATTTTTTTTTTTCTATTAAGGAAGCAGTGAAAATAGATGCTGTGTCCTGATCCTTCCTTGTTCTTCATTTCTGTAGTGCAGGGGTAGGCAACCTTGGCTCTTTTATGACTCGTGGACTTCAACTCCCAGAATTCCTGAGCCAGCCATGCTGAGGAGAAAGGGAGGTTTCCAAGCTGAGCCATGGCGACTCAGGAATTCTGGGAGTTGAAGTCCACGAGTCATAAAAGAGCCAAGGTTGCCTACCCCTGCTGTAGTGTATCACTTGAATTATTACCTGAAGTCTCACTACTCATAGTTCCCAAATGTCCAGTTGTTGGAATTCTACTGTTAGAAAAGGAATGGTTCCTTGAATTTGCAATCTTAAAATTTTCCCGTTGGATTAGGATAGATTCCCATGGCTTTTGCTGTGTCCGTTGTATTCCTTTAATTAATCTTAAAAAAATGGTTTTCCTGGATCCTACCCAGTATCCCTTAGCCTGGGTGTTTCATTACCAATTGTGCCAGGCCGAGTCCTGGGAAGTTAACCAAGCTTGAAGGTGACGTCTGTGGTAGAATTAATCTAAGAGATTAGAGGCACATGCTTTACAAACCTACAATGGTGGTTTCCTCCGAGGTTGGGCAAATTATGCAACCTATGTCTGAGAAATTAAAATCTGAATATCAACATTTTTTCAGCTCAGTAGATCAAGATTGTGGACTTCTGCATGGATAGCTTTTAGCCTAGGAGTGATATAACTGGCAGATTATAGGCACAGTGAAATTACCCTTGCTTTCAAAGGAGAGTCCTCTGTCACAATTACAAAGAAATGGCCTTCGGAAAAGTTGGCCTATTAATCTCTTTGGGGTCCTTGGTGCTCTCTGAGCTTGGTTGTTTTCTTGTGGACGTTTCGTTGCCCAACTAGGTAACATAATCAGTGCTAGAAGGGAGTGGGGTTTGTTCTCTGTTTATATACAGTTGGCTAGTTGGATAGTGAAACATCTGCAAGAAAACCACCAAGCTCAGAGAGCACCAAGACCCTCAGCTTCAAATATTCTCTTTTGTTTGTTAGTCTCTTGCTTGATCTGTTAAAAACTAGATGTGATCATATATGGGGTTAGTAATTGACTCTCTGGGTAGCAGCTTTCAATATGCAAAGGTTTGTAATAGCTGTTAATAAATCAAAGGGTTAGTTTCTCCTCTTTTCAAAAAGATTAGTCAATTTAAGACAATTTGCAGGGGAAAACCACAACTGGATTTTGGTACAGGACTATGAGCTGCTTGTGAAGTCAGAACAAATCGAATCTCAAGGACCTAAACGTGCTTGGAATGTTGCTTGTTTAATTTTAAACATCTTTTTATAGCTGGCTATAATTGATGGATGATTGGGGGTTTCTTGTTAAGAAAAAAACAAAACAGGGTTAAAGTTCTCCCTACTCTTGAAACCGATATAACTGGCAAATGTGTGTGCTGCTGAAGATGATGGATATATTTAAAAGCCAGACTTTAGGATCTAGTAGTCCCAAATAGATTTTCCTATTTTTCCTATTTTTGATGGTCAAGGCAATTGCTGCTGGTACTTAAGGCCTAGTTGCTTCTCTTGCACAAATTTCGAGATGATGGGCACCCTTTGCAAGTTGCTTGCCATTGTTTCTGCTCTTGACGTTGAGGCTCACCCCAAGTTCCCAGGAATTTGTAGGTTCCTTGTAACCCAACTGGACATCGCTACCAATATGAGTCCTGCAGCTGCACGAATGTGGATGTGTGTGCATTGACCAACGTACTGTCTTGGGCTGAAACCATTAGACTGCTCTCTTTAGAATGACTCAAGTCCTCTTCAATTATACAAGCCAAGATCCGGCTGAATCGCATTTATCTTAATGCTTCTCTTAACTCACAAAGAGCTTCTGACGTCTCTGTATTCTACAAGTTGCACAATGTACACTAATATTAACTCCTTTAGAAGATGGGAAGCTAAGATTGTGCCATGGCTGCTTTTCCAAGGTTGTGTTACTGAGTTGATGACAAGCGCTGGCCTTAAAAACAGTCTTGTGTCTCCCTAAAGACTAACACACTTTTATGGCATGTTGGAACTATTCAAGCAGTAAAAGATGTTTTTGTTGTTTCATTTCGTTTTCTTATGTCTTAAAAGGGAAAATGCATTTCATGCTCAGGTGGGCTGGGTGAAAGGGAGGGAGGGAGAAGGAAGGAAGGAAAGAAAGAAATGGAAGGAGGGAGGAAATAAGAGGGAGGAAATAAGAGAAGGAAGAAGAGCGGGAAGAAAGAAATGGAAGGAGGGAGAAAGGAAGGAAATGAGGGAGGGAGGGAGGGAGGAAAGAAGGAAGACCTTCGTATGATGAAACCGAATACATAACTAGCCCAAAGGTTTGATTAGGCATGCTTCTAAAAGCATGATGCTCATTGCCCATATTATTTAATATCCATTTAAAACGGGTGTCAAACTGCTGGCCCGCAGGCCGGTTTCATATCGAAGCCGCGCCCACCCCATTGCCAGCAATGCAAAAAGAGTAATACGTCACAACACGTCACGTGACATGGCGAGTTTGACACCCGTGATTTAAAAAATAAAATTTAATTTGACTTCTGCACTTCACATTTAGCTCTGGAAGCTAAATTAACCAGCGTGACTTATGAACTGGCACTGAATGGTGCTTGATGCAAAGTTTTCTACAACTGCTTGTTAGAAGATTCTATTCAGCATGTGCGCCAAGCAGATCTCGGTAAATTGGGATTTAAACAAAAGAACATTATTGATAAGTTACAATATTCTTAAAATCACTCAGAAGTCACCATCTAGCTCAAAAATAAGCGAGCATGGATACAAACAAGTACAGGTAGTTCTCAACTTACACAGTTTGTTTAGTTGACCGTTCAAAGTTGCAACATCACTGAAAAAAGTAACTTGGGACCATTTTTCACACAACTCGCAGCATTCCCATGGTCACATAATAAAAAAATCAGACTCTTGGCAACTGACTTCTATTTATGACGGTTGCAGTATCATGTAAATCACCTTTTGCAACCTGACAAGCAAAGTCAATGGGAAAGGCAGGCGTTACTAACTTAACAATTGTAGTGATTCACTTAACTGTGGCAAGAAAGGCTGTAAAATGGGGCAAAATTCATCTAACAAATAATAATAATAATAATATAATAATAATATAAAGTTGGAAGCGACCTTGGAGGTCATCTAGTCCAACCCCCTGCGCAGGCAGGAAACTATACCATTTCGGACAAATGGCTGTCCAGTCTCTTCTTAAAAACTTCCAGTGTTGGCGCATTCACCGCTTCTGGAGGCAGGTTGTTCCACTGGTTAATTGTTCTCACTGTCAGGAAGTTTCTCCTTAATTCTAGGTTGCTTCACTTAGCCACAGAAATTTTGGGCTCAATTGTCATAAGTCGAGGACTACCTGTAATATAATAAATTGAAAGCAGAGAAAAGATTTGCAATTCTCTTCCAATCCCTAAGGGGGCGCATCGCCCACATTTTGATTCAACCCGTAGCGTTATGCGCCGCTCTGTAATTTTGGAACTGGGATAACGGCTGCCTCATGGCGTCACTCACGAACACCGCGCGGATGACGTCCGTCGCTCCGCCCGGTTGCCGGAGCAACCATCAAGCTCCGTGCAGCCAGTTCTCACGCCCGCGTGAACGTCGGCCCTCATTCATAGAGCTAGAAATAGAAGAGTCGCACCTCCGCAATGATTTAATGATTTTTGCATATCGATTCCTACCTCAGCCCATTCCTCTTCCGAAATTCAGATGACCGTGAATCGAGCCTTTCACCCGCCAACGACGCCGTGAGGCGCCAACGGATTTCCATTAGTTTGAAATCGGAAATTGAAATCCGAGCTCTACTCTACATCTTTCGTAGATCTATAGTCCGCCTTCGGCCCTTCTCTCTGGAGTCACGGTTTCCGCCCGGACGGAAGAGGCGACCGGACCTTTTGGGACTCGGCGATTGCTCGTCCCTCTCTCGGCGCTGCCTCATGGCTTTCAACTTCGGGGCGGCTGCTGGCGCCGCGGCCGCCCCAAACCCCGCGGGTGAGTGCGGAGGCGGGGAGGGCCGCCAGAAGGCCTTGCCGAGACGAGCTTGCGGGCCGGGCGGGGAGGGAGGGAGGGGGGGAGGGAGGGAGAGCTGCACTCGTTGAATGCCTGCCTGGCTCTTGAAACCATTGCGGGGAATGGAGGGAGGAGGGAGGGAACCCGCCGGCGTCTCTTGCGTGAGGTGATAGCGTATGTTTTCTTAAACCGCCGGTTGCCTGAAGAAAAAAACAGAGGAAAACGAGCGAGGAAAATAAAATTACCTCACCCAAAGGGAAATGGAGGGTGGGTGGGTGTCAGGGCATAATTGTTTTGAGGCGGCTTCCGGGAATGCCAAATATAAGCAAATAAATTACATTTTTACAAGTTTTCGTCAGCTGGGGCTTGGTAGGCAGCTGGTTGGGGTCCCTGCCTAAACCGGCTGCCTACGAGCCCCGGCTGACGAAAACG